TACCAAAATTTAACCCTTTGATTACGACTAAGAATCAGTTTTAGAATTAATTCTAGGATATCTCAAAAATTAGTATGTATCTTAGGCTTGATAAGGTCATAGACTCGAATATTTTGTCACTTCGTTCCTTAATATTCGAGGCTACTCCTAAAGGCAAGCAGTATAGCATAAATATTAGTATACATAGAAGGTTTGCAAAGACTCCACGAGTTTGGCTTCGAATCTTTGGTTCTTGCCAATCTTACATCGTCTCAAAGGCAAATAGTATAGTATATTTTTTTTTGATATTTGAATTGGGTTAAATATCAGGCTAGAAAGGTTATAACAATTTAGTTGATTTTAGCTTCTGAAGCTTAAATCTATAGCAAGGAATATGATAATGAAATTGAGCGCCAGTGCTGTTTTTAAATCTGAATTCTATATTATGGATTCATATTGCTAGAAGAGCTTCGGGCTTATGATTGGGAGCTTTCTGGATACCTTTTTTTTTTGACCCCAGGACTCCCAAATTTGCTCTACTTGAGCTTTTAAATTTTTATCAAAATAAAAAAAGTAATTTTTTTCAAAATTTAATAATTTTTTTTAAATTAATTATAATTTTTTTGAATTTTTTTTTAAAAAATATTTAAATTTAGATTAAAAAATAGCTAAAATTTAATTTAAAAATGTAATTTTTTAAATTTTTTTAAAAAATTTTAAAAAAATTCAAATAATAAAGAATAAGATTAGACTTATAGTAAAATCGTTAAAATTTATAAATTAAATTTTTTTTTAATTAAAATAACTTTGAATTTTTATTTAAAGTAATATAAAGTTTATATATTTAAATAGTTCTAGTTTAAACTTTTAAACAAGATGTTTTTTGTAATTATAGCATAAGATCACATGAAATTAAATTATCAACAAAATTTTATATTATTTAGTTGCGTTTTTTTTGCTTGTCACTGTATAACATAATTCATATTTTTATTAAAAACTAAATACAGAAGATATTTTTAATAATAGCAGCAAAATTTATAATAAATACTATTAAAATGATGAAAGTAAAGAAAATAAAAGTATGGTCTTAAATAATAAAGAGACTTTAAAGGATCAGTTTATAATCAGGTTATATCTATATAAATGAACAAAATATCTAAATTAATAAAAAAACTGTCAATATAAAATAAATGATTAATTAATTGTAAAAAAGAAGTAGATAAATTATTTAATTATTTTAATAATTCTATATTAAAAATAAATTTAAGATGAGTAAGATATTAAATAGACTGTGTATTATTTTTAAACAAATTATTTGAATTTAGTTTATAGCTAAAAAATGTAAATTTATAAATCATATATAGTGAAAAAAAATAAGGTAATCAATATGAAATTTTGAGTTTAATATAAAGATTAATAGAAGTTTTATAAAATAAGTTTCTTATTCCTTATATTGGATGGTTTAAAGGTAAATTAATTATTGAAAGAGCATTTCTTGTAAAATAGTAATAGAAATCTTATATTAAAATATTAAAGTGAATAATATCATTTTTAATTTTAAGCATTTTTTTCAATAATAGCTTTACTAAACATCCTACTGTAAAATGTGTTGTACATTTTATGGTAATCTTAAACAAATAGAAAATCTCAGAGATGTTTAACATAAATTAAATTATTTAAAGGTATATGAAATTCTGTTTGAGTTTAAAACTAGATGGAATTCTACATATCTTATATGAAATCATTTAGAATTAAAAATTTTACAAGAATAATAAGGATGATGTGATTATTTAGACAAACCAAGTTAATGAATCTGAATGGAAGTAATTTTTAGCATTTAAGTTTATATATATTTGTGAATGATAATAATAAATTCAAATTATTTATTTATTTTATTAGCACCTTTCTATGAAGCAACTCAAAGTGCTACCTATATTATATTAAATGTGTTCATCTTAAAAAAAAAAAAGTATCACTGCAAAAGGATCAAAATAAAGAGTATTATACAAATTTGTTATAAAAGATCCTTTATCTAATCAAAGACACCAATTACTACTGCTAATATTCTAGAATTTGTTAAAGTTACAATCTATTTGAGTATGTATCAATATTGGGATGTATAAAAAGAAGTAACATTAGTTGCAGCCTTACTTATTAGATCCTCGATTCAAAAAACTTAAATTTGTCAATGTAGAATAGCGTAACATAACTATAAATAGTCTTAGACATGAACAAGCTATTATGATAGAAAAGCCAGTTGATAATCCATTTATTGATTTGACTGAGCCATCAACTACAAAAAAAAAAACTAATGTAAATCGAAAGTATAAAGTTAATTATTTGGATGTTTGAAGAATGTTCAAGTGTTTGAAATCCTCGGAATGCTAAAAAATAATGATTTTACGAAGTAGCATAGCTCAATACATTATCAAACAATGATAACAGCATTTATATAACACCCGCATGATATACACAGTTAAAAGATAAAACCAAATGTGGGCGAACTTTATTAAATTTTATTACACAGAAGAGGTCAGGAATCACGTGAATGATGCAGTAAATCTCGACATCGGAAAATGTTAGTTTATCATGAATATCACATTGAAAACATGTATGACGACATTTATTGATTACAACTGCCCTTTTACATTAGCTATTTACCCTATCTATTTTGTATGAAAATAAATAACGCCAAAATAATAGTTGTCCATAAGCATTGCCGCCATGGGAGTCTTAATAGCGAGTTGAAGGTGTCGAATAGGTTCTGAACCATTGAGCACTAGGAATGACATTCTACCATGAACCCTCAGCATCATTTCCATCATAACTTGCCCATTCAGATAGAATTTGTCTTGGGTTCGATAATTGGTATCCGTATCATTATCTACTTCCGATACCTTAGTACATCTCGAAGAAACCACCACCTTCTTCCATAGATCATCACCTTCAGAACTAGATCCCGATAATTCATGCTTTTGATTCTGTCAGTATCGACTCAATACACGACAATTCCATTAGATCCCTTACGATTCTTAATCCAATTGTTTGCATTTTCAATCGATGAGTTTAAGCAAAAGCTAGGATCCGATCCGAAATCGAGACTGTGTCTGCCATGTGCAAGTATGATTCCATTCTTGCTGATTGCTTGGGCGCTTTGATAATTTGTTGCGTGAAAGAAAGCACATCGTATAGATTGTCGAATTGGTATCAGCGACTTTCGTATTGTTACTTAAAATGTTATCTATTCCAGTAGTGATATCATCATATGATGAGGCGAACATTTGTGGCCCACCTTTTCTATCGTAACTGATCCACTGATTGCGTGGAAGGTTTGCATCATAGAAAACGTTATCAAAGGCATCTGAATATTGAAATCCCATGGATTGAGGATTCATTCGAATAACCAATGATATAAAATCTGTTTAGACCATAGGGTATCATCACACATACTATTACGGAGTTCATTTGCTGTTTCTTCCGTAAGACCCATTCCACAAGTAATCTCTTATCATCACCTGAAGTAACACAACTTACACCAGTTCCCTCAATGCCAACGAAGATTGTTGGGTTCAGTCGCTGGCGTTCTTCGAGAAAATCAAACATGAGTTCCGTATTCGTTTTAAGATCAAGGTGGACCTCCTCTTCCAGAAAGGACCTAACGAGGTTTGATTGAAAACCTCGGCTAATAAAGTAAGCCATGATCTCGGAATGAAGAGGGTCTGTTGATTCGTCGGATAATGGGGTTTCTTTTGCTGAAACGTCGAATAATGTTAATTCGTGTGCAGTTGATTCGGTCGATGGGTTAATGAAGACATACTTAAAATTTTCTCCTCTTTGAATCATTGAAAGTCATTAATTAGTGCTGTATGAGGGTTTATAAGTGCTTATATAAAAAACTATGTTTACCCATTGTTTTCAGTTTGTTGAGAAAAATCATAATACGAAATTCCATCAACGATAAGCTTCGGATATTGCCCAACCTTTAAGTATAAAAAAATTCGTAAATATCAAAATCAATTATATAATTGCAGTAAGGTGACTGATCATAACCCTTAACAGCTAAAAGGAATTTATAAAAGGAATCACAAGATTTATTTTTATTAACAAAATCGAACGCTCTTCACTCTTTAACTAGGTGAACATATTCAAATATTTACTGTATACAGGTTAATATAGCTTAATGGAATTTCCTTAAAAGGTTACGAGACGTGACGAAACCAGGGTTATAAATGGAATTTCAGATTACTAAAATTCATATTTTAACGAACAGATATCTTTGGAAATTTGGAAATAATTTTATATTGAGGTTCATTCATTTCGTTGACGATGCAAATAAATTGTAATCGTTTGATATAATTTTATAATAAAATGTTTAATCTCTTATTTCAATTGAGAAGAAACAATTGAAATTATTTCGGGAAGTAAAGAAGCTGCTAACAAGAGAGGATTTGGAAAAAAACTTCGTCTACCTATATGGTTTAAAAAATATAAAGGATATTCAAAAGAAAAATAAAAATATACAGGAAATGTTTAATAAGACATTTAAATATGAAAACATAAAAAAAATCTACGAAATTAAACAACCACCACCGGAATTACTGTCATTAATTCTTTGTCTTAAGTCATTATTTTCTCTTCGCATCGTTTCTAAAATTGCTTCAGTTTGATCTTTAGAAGCTTTGATTTGCTGAGCGAGTTGCTCTTGGTAAAATCGATTTTGATTTTCTACAGCTTTATCCTTTTCTTCGTTTAATTTCCTGCTCAATTCTTCGATTAATCTGCGATTTTCTTCTTCAGCAGATCTTTGTATTTGTTCAAAGTTTCTTTGTTGTTCATCAAGTAGATTTTTATTAGTTTCTTCGTTCAATCTTTGTTGTTCAAGCATAGTTTCTTGCATTTCTTCCATTTTCTGATTATATTTTTCAACAACGCGTTCCCTTTCTTCAATAAGTCGATATTTCATTTCTTCGTGGGATCTTTGCTGTTCTTCGATATTTGTTTCTAATTCCATCATTTTAATCTTAAACAGCCTTTCGGTTTCTTCACGTTCACGTTTCTGTCCTTCAATTTCCATACGGAATTGTTCTTCACGTGCTATTGATTCTAAACGTAATCTCTCGGCTTCTTCTTTAGCGATCATCGCTTTAGCTAATTCCGCGTTCATCTTTCCCAATTGCGTCATATAATCAATTGCGGTCGGATACTGATCTTGCATGTATGACGCAATTACTTTGGCGGCTTCTGGAGACTTCATCATAGCTTTCTCGAAAGATAATTCAAACGTGTCCAATGCTTCTTGAAATTTTTCGGTACTCTTTAACAAAAAAAAATATATATTGATCGTAAATTAAGAAATTAAGGTACTATTTAATATTACCAAATAAAATTAACTGAGAAAAATATTTCTAATCATACCTCAAATAAATTTTCTAGATTTAATCCAGACTTTACATATTTTTCCCATAAAATTTTTGCAATATGTTCATTACGATTCGTTAATTCTTCGGAATTTTTTTTCAGAAATATTTCTTTACATTTATTTATAGCTTCATTTAATCGTTCAATAAAACCTTCCATCTGTGTAGGACTTCCAATGACTTTATCAAAGAACAATTGGTTGACCTCTGAAATACTAGCATCATGAATCTCATTAAAATTTTCCCATATCATTGGGAGTTTTCCTTCTTCATTCAGAACATCCATTCTTTCTTGATATAAAATTGTAGCTTCTTTTATTGCTTCTTGTGCAACATATTGTATAATTGATTCATATTCGGAGGGAATCGAGAGAAGTGAAGAAGTTTCTGAACTGTTCATACGCTCCACGATATCTTGCAAGAACTTTACAAATGCCGTTCCTTTCATGGTGGATGAACCTATGTATTTTAAGGGTAATTGAGAATAGATTTCTTTTACGGTGTTCTCTACTTCATCAACAAATTCCTCATCAAGTTCATCGGTTTCAGCATCTTCCAAATGTTGTAACATTTTTCTTTTACAACCGGGATGTGGTAATCTTAAATTTGGTAAAGTATAAATAAATATGTTAATTATGTGAAACATAAGAAGTATCAATAATAACAATAATAACCAAAGTATATTTACCCATAAACATTAAAGTCATAAAAGAATTTACCAATTCCCGTAGCAGCTATGAATTGAAAATTGAAATGTCGTTACAATTTATACTTTTTATTTGAGCTTTTTTTTTTTTTTTATTATTATTATTAATTTATTAAATAATTCACCTTCAGGATTGACATTTTGTAATTTTTCCAGAAAATAATCCTTGAAGCTATCTGGATTTTCCAGAGTGAAATCACGAAGTAAGATAACTAATCTGGGTAAAAAGTCACCATCTTCGGGTTCTTGAATGAATTTACTTAAATCGGTCATAAGGTACAATTTGCCGATATCATCCCTGCCGACGATACCATTAATATTATAAATGAAAGTTGACGAAGAAGCTAAACATAAAATGAATAGCTTTGTCGCCCAATTTTGGTCTTGTTTTGGGTCATCGATTCCTTCGGAATCGAGAACGATTACACGTTTTTGAATCGTGCTGCCATCGGATTGTTTACTTTTCAATGTGAAAGGAGGAGACCACATGTATATCCCTCGTGTGCACCCTTCAACTTTTGCTCCTAAATCAAAACCGTCATGACGACCGTGCAATACATTTGCGAACCAAGATTTACCACGGCGATATGAACCAACTACTGAGATAATAGCAAGTGGTTCACGAATCTGTTTAAGAACATCTAGTGCTTCTTGATTTAGCACAATTTTACCGAACTTTCCATTGTTGGCTTCAAATCTTAATAGTTGCATTGGAGCACCTTCACGGAATGGAATTCCTCTACCAAACTTATTACCCTGAGTACCATTTTCAGAAAATCCATTGCTTGTACGAGTCATTATTTTAACAAGAATGTATTTATTTTATATTTTAAAATTTTTTTTTTTTTTTTTTTTCTTATTTTTTTTTTTTTTTATGAATTCGAGACGTTTTTATTTGAATAACATTACTTTATTGTTATTGTTTCCCAAACTATTGTTTTTGTTTCCAAAACGAACCTTTTTGATTGTGATCTTAAGCTTAATGAGATAACATTAAGCCAATTAAAGAAATTTTACAATAAGGTGCATATAAATTCAGCATAAAGATGTAAAACAATGCAAGTACCATTTACAACTTTTTTAGGTTATTCATTCAGATATTGATAATCTTTACCAAAATTTCCACTAAATGGTCGTATCCTTGCTTGTTTTGCCATTTTATATCGAAGAAATTAACCCTTCGCTATATAAAAGTTAAGAATACCATTTTAACATAAAAATTAAAAAATGTGTTGAAACATTGAAACTTTAAATTTTGCTACTTTTATAACATTATAAACTACTGCAATTGATTTTAATTTAGAGAAAATTAATTATCATATTTTTTTAAAATTTCTTTGTGATACCTTTAAACCGGGTGGGCGCTTTGCAGCAGAAAAGCAAAATATTTTTTTGAGTAATGTTAAATCTAGATCTGGAATTATTTGACTAATAAAAATCATATTTAACTTATAAAGTAAAGGTTATTTTTATTTTGGTAGTTTCCTCCCTTTTACTGCAAAAGCGCCCAGGATGGAAGATTCTTAAAACTGATAAGTTTATCGCAATATCTCATTTGATAATTATCTTGGACAATCCCGTATTATAAATTTTTTTCTTTATTATAATACAAATTATATACACTATAATAATCTTTTTATATATTTATATTTTACTATTATTATAAAAGTTACTATTTTATTTTTTTTGATTTTTTTCTGTCTCATATCTTTTGAACTCTCTATTTAATTGTTTAATTAATTATCATTATATCATTTATTTAATATATTATAGTATACATATTAAAAATAAATAATAATAAAAAATCCTTATTAATATAATTAATAAATTTTATTAAATTAATATATTTTTATAATTTTTATTAGTGAATTATTTGATTATTTAATAATAAATTTTGCATTTTTTAAATAAATCATTATATTAAAAAAAAGTAAAATATCAAACAAAAATTTTAAAATAATTATTTTTTCTTTAAATTTATGATTAGATTTTATATAAATTAAAAAAATAACATTTGAAATCATTACTAAGAAAAATTAGGAATAATAGTAATTATATAAATCCTTTTTAGATAAATCAATTAGCATCTTTAGCATTATAAATTAATATATATAATAGAATAAATCAGCATATTACATATATTATATATTACTAATATTATTTAGTATTATAATAATAGTATTACTAGAAAAATAGAAACCATTGTTAAGTCTGAAATAAAGATGATCCTGCAACTAGTTGCAACTGATGATAAATAAACATCATATGGTTGTAACTAGTTGTGACATTAACAAAAATTGAGTTGTAACTAGTTGTAGCATCATCTTTAGTCTAAAATGATCTTAACTAAAAATATTTACACTGATATTTGTTTTATCTAGAATTTTATGTTATTACAAAAGCCAATCAGCATTGATTTAATTATTAAGTAAGTAGATATTAAGACATTTTTTTATTGTATATAGTTTTATATTCTTTCTGAACTAATAAATATTTTTTTTAAAAAAAATGTTTTAAAAATATTTTACAATTTTTGCCTTTTGTTTCAATTTGAAAATGCAAGAATTTTGTTACATTGCAATTTAATAATAATAAAATAAACTTATTTATAAGAACAAATATTTTTTAAAAATTTACTTTATTTCAAAATAATATATAAAAATATGTAAATATTTTTACATTTTTAAAAATTATTAAAATTATAATATTATATCAAATAAAAAACTTAATTTTAGCTATAATTTATTATTTACAATAAATCAATAATTATTTTTTTCTTAATATACTGAAAAAATTATTTTTTTCTTGATTTAATAAATGATCATTAGAATCTTTAATTTAATTAAATATATAGTAAATAAGTTTACTGTATCATTCTGAAATTAAGTAACTCTTTTATTACTATGAAATGCTTAATTTTAGATACTTTTTAAAAAAATAAAATTATCTTTCATTAAGTGAATGAATTTTGATATAAATGATTATCTAATAATTGTTAAATAATTATCAATAGTACATTGTATTATTCATATAACATAATGTAAATTTATCATAAAGATATGAACTAAAACTTTATTACAAAATCTGTTTTAAACTTATTTTTTAAAAACATAATATATTATTATAGAAATATAAAAAGTAAAAAGCTGTTAAATAAAAAAATTATATTAGATCTAAAAATCTGTCAAGCGTAATTGTAATTTATATTTTATTAAATAAAAGATATAACTAGTTATTTATATAAAGAAAAATAAAAAAAATGAAGTAGCAAGACATTTTAACTTTGATGATAATATGGTTAGTTGTTAGGTGAAAGTAAGTAAAAGTTAGGTAATTGAATTAAACTAAACTGTAAATAAACTAGTTTTAGTCAAATTAATTTTTATTCTGAAGCTGAAAAAAAGTTATATAATTAAAAAATTTCAAAATATCAAATTATTGTTTGTTTAGATTTATGAAAAAGTTTAAGCTTTTTTGATAATAGCATTTTAAAATCTCATAAAAGCTTTCTTTACAATTTAATAAATTAATAAAAAACTTTAACCAATTTATTATTTGTCTTAAGATAGAAAAATCCTTTGAATTATCCAACATTCTTAATATAGATAAAACTCCTATATAGTTTGACATAACAAAAAATTTTACTATTAATTAAATAGATAAAAAAACTGTTTATATTTATGAAACTGGTAATAAAAAAAATAGGTTCACAGTTGTAATTATTTTTATTATTAATAATTTTACAAAACTTAATTTATTAAATCTTTATTTTTTTATTATAGATGAGATAAAATTTCTATTAATCTGCATTTTTCAAGAAAAGTGATCATTATATAGTAAATATGATTTAATTTTAAGTATATTGATTATATTAATAATTAAGAATTAACAGTGATCTAATGATGATAATATATAATTCTTTTAGGAAACATCTAGAAGAATCTATTAAAAAAATTTTTTGATAGTGATATTAATTAAGTAATTATTCTAGGTAATTTAACCAATATATGTTAACCACTTGATATTGTAACTAATAAATAATTTTAAAGATAATTTTTGTAAGGAATAGTATATTTGAATGTCTAATATAATGTTGAAAAAGCTGCTACTAGAATCTGTGATATATTAAGCTAAATAATATTTATGGATAAGTAAAACAGCTATAGAATAATATTTCAAATAAAGTAATTATTCAATTCTTTAAAAAATGTGGAATATCAAATTCTTTATGTGAATTAGAAAATGAAAATAATATTAATAAAATTATTTAAGATTTTAATAAAGAAAAAAGAAGAAAAGTTTAAAATAGAAATGCATGATCTGTAAGCTAGATAATTAGATAATTAAATTATATATTTTCTTAAATTATTCATATTAATTGTAATATTTTACAAGTATAAAGTAATCATTTTAAAAGAAGATTTTTTTTTAAAATTGAGTTAATGTATAGAATTAAAAAGTTTGTTAATTTTAATGAAAGTAGTTTAGATAATGATAAGAAATAATTATCTTTTTATTGTAATTCTAATAAATTTTATTAATAAAATTATTAACATTTAATAATCATAAAAAAATTAATATTGTGAAAGGATACTTATTTTCAAGGAGTGTTTAATTTCAAAATATACAGTATTTGTTTCAATTAAATTATTTTTATTTTTAAATTTTAAAATAATTAAAATAAAAAATAATATAGTATACAATAAGTAAATAATAAATAATAAATAAATAAATAATAAATATATTGCATTAATTGTAATTAATAGTAAAGTTTAATATAATAGACTTTATTTTTTTTTACTATTTAAATTGATATATTAAGAAAAATTTATTTTTTGAATCCTCATTATAACAAATCAAAATTACTAAATTAATAGATTTATTATATTGAGTTTTAGCTATATTAATTATTAAGAAAAAAACTTAAATTTTCAAAAATAATATATTAGTTTAAAATAATAAAAAAATGTTAGAAAAAGAAATTATAATATATTAGATTATTCGTTATATTTGATAAATGATTAAAAAAAATGTATAATAATATAAAATTAATATTGTTGATTATAAATAAAGTAAAGAAATAATTAAGATACAAATACTGTAAAATAAATGTGGATTATAATATATATATATGATAAAATCTATGTTATATAATTATATATAACTTAACATTATAACATTATATATAAAAATTATTATTTAGAGCAAGTATATACAATTTTATATTAACTTCTGTAATTTTCTTTTTTCCTTTCACATCATCATATTAATTTTCTTTTACAACTCTCTACTCCTGCTATTTTTTTTTTATATCATTAATCAATAAAAAAATAATATTCTTAATAATCAAATTTTGAATTAAATATTTATTATTAAAATTACAATTAATAAAATTTGAACATAATAGTCATATTAGTTAAAATTATTTTAAAAGTCTAATAATATTTTCATTATTATTAACGTTAAGATAAAACAAAATAATTTTATATTTTAATTAATGATCATTATTCTTTTAATAGCAATGGACTTTAACAGTTTCTGTTTTTCTAGTTTTATTAATCTAAAATTATTTAATTCATTAGTATCATTTCTATTATCTTTATTATTATTATTATAATTATATTATCCTTTTTTACTCGTTTAATTTTCTGAGATTTTAATTTGTATAATTTATAAGTATCAGCTAACCCTTGTTTTCTTTGCTTAATAATCCAATTATAAAATTTTTTAAAAAGATATTCGTGTAAGATTCGCAACATATAGATGATCGTCAATGATCATCGACAAATCATTTATATTTATTTAGCTAGCTCTATTAAATTTCTCTTTTTGGATCCTTTTTGTTTTGTCTATATTCATTTCCTTAGACGTCGCTGTATGACGGTAATGGAAATTTTCCTTAAACCTAAAGTGCGTGATTTTTAAAGTGATACCACTAAGATGCGTATAAAAAAAATCTATTTACATATTTGGGTATTGCAGGCGAGAGACTCCTGTAGTTGTAATCTGTGAATTTGGATACTTTATGATTGCAAGAAGAAATTAAAGAGCTCGAGTACAATTCTTTTCTTTTGGGATGTATTTTTTTTTTACTAATAATATAAAAATTTTCAATTTATACATTTATTTACTTTTAGAATAAATGGCAAACCATAAAAAATAAATGGAGATCACGTGGAAAAATAATTGAGGCCATACGCGTACAGTCTTTTTTTTTTAATTGTACTATCTTACAAAGATTTTCCATATAATTGACATTTTAATCATCATGATCAGGATATATAGTTTCACCAAATTCATCAAGTTCATTAGGCTCAGCATTTGACTTCAACCATGCTACAGCCCCTTCCATATTTCCTTTATTCATATTGAAAGCGCGTTTGACATTTGGCTCCGAATATCCCATCTTTGTCAATTGGCATAATTGATCTTGTGTTGGATAAAAAGAGGTCAAGGTCATTTGTCGACTATTATTTGAAGAATGAAATTGTGAATTTCCTTTCTGCTCAAATCCTCTTCCTCTTCCCCTACCACCCCTTCCACCCCTTCCACCCCTATCAAAACCGTTACCTCCTCTCCTTTCATAATGTTGATATTGATTTTGTTTCCTTTGATCATTATTACTCGTTTTATTTCTGTAAACCTCATTTTTATGTGCTGATGATTCATTATCTTGTAAGGCGTTCGAAGTAGAATAAATTGTGGTAGCAACATTATTAATTTGTTTGTACTCTACGCCGTTAGCAAACCGTTTTTGAAAAGGTAAAAGATTGCCTTCCGGATTATGCGTTTTACTCGCGTTATTATCATCAAATATGGCAAAAGATATATGACGGTAAGTCTTAGGCAAATTCTCTCCACCGCCAGCGTATTCGGTTGAAATGATTTCATAAAATAACTGTGCCATAGTAGATGGAGGGTTACCATAAGCCCCACATCCAAATGCGCTGAGAACTATTGCATCATGGCCTTTTTGATAATAATAAGAAATAATAAACTTTCGATATTTTGAAAATGAGAGAGAATTTCATAAATTAAATAATAAGCACCATGAATTAATCCTATGTTAAGGATCGATCGAATTTTATGTCGAGTTATTGTTTTTGCTTCAGGGCTTAAAGTAAATTCTCCAGATTGATCTTTGATGATTTTTGGGCGACGCATTGCTGCTACTGCCTAATGAAGTTAAATTCGAATTTAATAAATTTAATAGTAATAAATATATATATATATACAACCTAATTATAGAGATTGTTTTTCATACCACAAAAGAAATGACCTTAGGAACTTCCAAAAATTCATATTTTTCTTGCTCGCTAGATCTAATAACGGTTGCATTAGGGCAGTATACCCCTCCTAATAATGGTATAGGGTACCAATCCTTTTTGTTACGTTCATGGTATTGATAAAGATTTGTACGGCGAAAAAGATTTTCTTCCTGGGCTCCCGCACCATTTTTGTAACCTATTCGAAATTCCAGGCGTCAATATTGTTATAATGTTTAAAATTAAACTCCTAGGAAATCAAAACCGATATTTACCACCACCAGCATTTGTTGCACTAGCCATGTTTAACACCAAAGGATTAAAACCTTCCCTCGTCAATTCCAAAGCCCTTATTAGACAATCACCTTCCACCACTTTTATAACCGGTTCTTCTTGCATTTCAGGAACCTTTTCTCTAACTAAGATTGAACCATTTTTATAAAACTCCGCTTGGGAAATTTCTTTTTCGATAAGTTCCTTATTGAGTTTGATTTCTTTATTAGTACGTGGGTGAACGTACTTCAATTTATTGAAGGCTTCAATAGTTTGCTGTTGAACGATTTTGCGCTGAGACCTTTCCATGCTTAACCTTATAACCTAATAAAAAAAAGAAGTGGGAAATTTATTTAACTTATTTTAAATTTCATTTTATTAAAAAGATCCGGAATTGATAAATATTGGCCAATCAGATTTTTCATTCGTTTAGGCGCAGAAAAGTCAAACTTTAAATACATTGATTATTAAATTTATTAAATTTGTTAACCTTCTCATTTAAAATAACAATCAAACATATACAATAGCAATTTAAATTTAAATGCGCTAAAACGAATTATACCAATTCGTTTAAATCTTGTCTATCTTATACCAGCTTTCACTTCACTCGTTATGGCTTCCATCACATCTAATTTTAATAGATCCTTAACCGGAAAGTGTAAAGAAGCTTCATATGCCAACTTTATCGTCGTATCATTTATATGAAGGAAATGACGACTCAATGCATTGATGCTATTGCAAACTCGCGCGATTGCCTCACGCCTTTCTTGATCAATTTCCTAATAGTAAGGAAGAATAAATAAATATTTAAGACATAAATAGAACCTATGGGATCATAATATGCGATGATTACCTCATTATCATTTGAGTAAATAGCGTCGGAATCTTGATCTTTAGATGATTTTGTTGTCTGTTTGCTTACCCAAATATAACCATTCAAACCTAATGCCAAATCAACTCCGTACGGTAAAGTATGAAAATGAGTTTTACATCGTTGCACAAGCGCTTGCGGAACTACGACGAAAGAACCGTTACGTAACTTAAGAGAACGTATGTATTAGTGTAATTTATTATTAATGATAATTTATTTAATTATTTACCTTGCCGTATTTCAGATTTCTTGTATGTAATGATGAGGAACCATCTTGAAAGTGTCCTTGTACTTCAGCCTGAAAATTTGCAAGAAGGGTTAATAAAATGATTTGGATATGAAAGGAATATATTCCATACCACTAGTAGATCTCCTTCGGAGAAAAATTTTCTCATTTGAAGTTCATCAGCATCAGTTTTACGTCTCTAATTTAATAAATATACAATTTTTAATAGCAAGCAAAAGGTTAAAAAAAATCAATTGTGGAAATATAACTTACTTGTATACCACCAGGAAGATTAATAGCTGACAATAACAATACCGCATCTTGCCTTGAATTTATATCAACTTTCCATCTTCTATGTGAAACCTATTATATAAATTCATCAATAAGGTATTTCACTCAGTTAAACCGAATTTATATTATCTCACCTCTGTAATTCTGCCAATTACTAAATCGCCAACTTCACCATTGTATCTATTTTAAGATAAAATTGAATTAAGATAATAACGTGCGTAATGTTACAAAATACAAAGGTTTCTTACATACCTCGCGTGTAATGACCTTACAGAGATTAATTTGTTGACGCGTTCAACCACACCAGCCACTGATGCTGCACATTTTCCTGATTCTGTGTTATAGGTACCATGACCTCTAAATATAATATTAGAGTTTGAGTTTAAATTATCCGAATTCTAATAAAATTCAAAACAATCCAACCTCATAGATTGTGCATCACTGGTTATGAGTTGCCCAGGTGTTACAACTTGTGACTCGAAATTTTTCCTCTCTGTTTTAAGAAGCATATCTATGTCGCCATCCATATCAATATCAACTATAAATTTTTGTGAGGATGGTTTTGGAGAAAGAAATTGAAATGCCATATTGAAAAATGAAAATTTGAAGATTTGAAGATAGAACGCGACAATTTTTTGGATTTTACAATTTACAATTTTAAATGTAAAATATATATATATGTGTATATATATTTTGTGTAACTTGTCACTTTATTTTAGTTAGTATGTGTAAGGATGGTTTTCACTTTGGTAAAATATATATTATTCCAATTAAGCATGATTAAAAAATTTTTTAAATTGCTATTTTCTCAGAAAATATATAAAATTGTTTGTTAAATAACTTTGTTATCTCTCGAGATTAAAACATTAATGCTTATTACGATCAACATTTAATTGTGGTGTCTACAATTTCGAACCTCTCGGTGATGACGTTGTCACTCACTTTTGTTACATTTGAAAAAATTGAAAAAGTTACACACACTACTTTTATAATTAATTAATTAATTAATTAATCATGCGATTCCAATCCGTTTACTACTTCTCGATTATAAAAAAAAAAAATTATTTTTATAACCCATAACCATCATGAATTCTTCCGTCTTTGCTCGTTCGGCTATTCGTTCCCGTGCATTGGCCCGTCCAATTCGCGATGGTGCATACCATTGGGAGAATGTTGACGGTTCGGTTAGTTTTTATTTTAAAATATTATCAAAATTATTTCAGTTTACTTTTTGAAATGTTAATAAGTTTTGATTATTAGCACCTTCCTTTCAGTACCAAGAGTAAAGCAGGTCTTGCTATCAAAATGTTTTTATACCTTGGTACAGGCTTCTCTCTTCCATTTGTTAGTAAGTAGTTTAGGAAAAATAATTTTTACTGATTTTTGACATTGAAATTAATTAATATTTGGTTAATATTAGGTGCTGTGTGGCAATTGTAAGTATTCCTTTTTCAAATTTTTATTTATTTTTTTTTATTCTACGTTTATTTATTATAAATGTTCATATTCAATTAACTTTTATGCAATAATTTACGGTGATATGTGTAGTCATAAGGCCGGTAAACCTTATTTTAGAACCGGTCCACCTCCTAGTGATTAATTCTCTTGTGAATAATTTTAATGTCCAAACAATATATATATAAAAAATGAAATTCAATCCTAAATTTATGTTTAAAAGTAGCTAAATCATATTCCCCAGTAAAGATCAATAAAGTCATAATTTTCTTTTAATTTTCTTCATTATTCTCATTCTCATTCTCATCCTCATCCTCATCATAATCAGCACTGACTAAAGATATGCATGCCGTATTATTATTACCTAAATAGACAAATGTGATGAGGGTGGATTTGATGTATGATTCTTATGAAATGGATGAAAAGTTAAATAAGTTACCTTTACTATTCTTACTATTTAATAAAGGATCAAGAGTAATGTTTTCAGAATTTAATACTTCTGTCAGCTGATCGTTACTTTGCTTTTTATCTTCCTTTCTCTTTTTAATAATCAAATCCTTATGATTTTCACCACTTTTTTCGTTTCCATCAATATGATTTCCGAGATTCCAATCATTATCCTTTAAAAAAGGATCCGTTTTGAGCTTGGTATTAACTGCCACCATTACCGACAATTGGGCAACCTTATCCTTAGGATCATGAATATGAAATTTTGATTTTTTAAATTTTGACGACGGTTTATTAAATATGGATGATGCCGTTATTTCTAATTTCCGTTTTTGAGCTAGTTCAAGTAATTGATCTATTAATAAACATAAATAAATTTATATTAATTGATAATGATGGTGATGATGATGATGATTTTTATTTAGATTCATAATAATAACAACCTGAAAATTCAGTTGTTTGTGCCTTGACTATATCTTCTTGAGATTCTGGTAACAGAGGGATTGATAATGCATTTCTATCGCGTATTTCTTCATCTGCAAGTCTTTTAGCTTCTAGTTCTTTTTTCTCCTCCTTTTTAAGAAAATTTCGTAAATATCAGTAACTGCTAAAGAATCTTGAAAATAAAAAAATAAAAACATTCGGTATGCAAAGTATTCAACATTTTTTTTTTTTTTAAAAAAAAAAATCCTTACTCTAAATTTTTTACGCATTCGCTGTGAATGCGTATAAGGATCCGCCCATTGTTTATCATTTAACCTCTTTCAAGGAAAATAAATATTGTAAATTTGTATCTGCGAATAATTAGCAGACCATCACTATGAAATGATATTATGGACGTACTTGAAGCTGTGTTAAAATAGGAAGAGCTTCTTTAGATCTCATTTCATCTTTAACAGAATGTTCGAGCTTATATAATGCATTATCAACCAATTTCTTAGCTTCTTCGTCATCTATTAGGTACAATTGAAAAAAAAAATTTTCAACAAATGATGAATTTAAAAAATTCAAACATTAAAGAAATAATGTAAACCTTTTAATTTAATGACTTCAGAATCTTCTGGCTCCCAAGTTTCGACTTTTTGACGAGCTCCAGAAATAACCGAATATTCAGCATTCTATATAATTCATTATAAATAAATTGTCGTTTTAAACAACTTTTAGTGTAGTGTGATTCTCACCTTCGGATCTGTGTGAATTTCAATCCAATTGTCACACAAATGACATTTCATCCGAAAACTGAAGATTGGTGTACTAAAATATTTTCCGATTTTCTTCTTCTCTGCATTATATCGAACACCTATAAAAAAAAAAGAGGATGATGAAATGAGGCTTGAATTTCTAAATGATAAAATTCAGACAACTAAATTGAATTAAAAAAAAAGTATAAGGTATGTTACCTTTGCCAACATGGTTACCACAGCCTTCACACCAGATGTTGAAAGGTAATTCGAATCTTGTGAGTTTATATTTTTTTTTATGGTTATTATTACAAAAAACACGTAATTTGTTCAGTTTCGAATTCTGACACATGATCTAAAGAATTATGTTACAAAAATCGGACGAGAATACAAACCTGACAATTAAAACTCCCTGATCAAGTTTACGTGCACGATCACCGAGCGGATGTTTTCCAACAAATTTATTAACAGAACCCTGTAATTTATGAAAATTTATTGAGAATCTTGAAATTGTAACTGAAAGATATAAAATTCATTAAGTACTTTATCTGGAGTCCAATCAGGTGGATAATATTTATTAAAGGGTTGCATTTTTTATATATATATATAGACTTTCAAAAACTAAAGATCTGTAATGTTAATTGACTTTTATTACAAAATTGATTTTGAAATTCTGTTTGACGTGCCTTTTTACTAGCGCAAAACTCACGTGTTTTTCATTCATTCCGTGTAACATCGATCGATTTTCCCGTGATATCAAAATGAATAACTAATCATGACAAACCACGTTCAATGAGAAGGATTTTTAATTAGTGGCGATTCAGGCTAAGCACAAAATTCTTATAAATAAAAATTTGATTCAAAGCCTTGTGAAAAAAAATACCAATTCAAAGTAGTGCTTGAAAATATAATAATGGTTATTCATTTATTAATCAATTTGAAAAAAATGCAAAGGAAGAGGCGCTCAAAGAATGGTTCGGACCTAGATTAATTTGCCAAATATTAAAACTAAAAAACGTGAGAAGGTTCTTGAAACCCTTCAAAATATCTTCCAAGCGGAAAGTAACTGTTCATCAAAGTAAGTTGCTACTCTTTGTGCTTATAATCACATTGTTCATTTCTGATCTTTTTAATTTTGTGCACCACAGTTTGATGGTGTTGTGAAGTTAGAAGTCCTTTCTTTCATTACAAATTGGTGGGTGCGACATCTGTAGTTAATGGTAATGAATTCCTACCCGATGTAGAAGGATGCCAACGCGTCAGCAAATGTTTAACCCTATTATTCATTCATCTCCACCTCCGTTGTTATGGATTGGGACATTTGCAATAGAAAAAGTGGAAACGGCTGGAAAAAAATAAAAAATGAGTTAATGCTAAATCTGACCTAAAAATCATATTTGGCATATAAAAGTAAAAATTGATTTTTTTCCCTTTCTATTAGGTCCCATATTTATTTTTAAGGATCATAATAATGCATTATATAAAATTGCATATTTTTATCCTTGGATACTAGTAAATCACGAAGTACTATGCACGTGGGAGGTGTAATACCAGCAATTGTAAACAATTGGACAGGATTTTTTAATATGACAAATCAGTACAGCTTTGATCAAGAACCAATTCAATGAGCCAGATTTTAACAAGAATATAGCCGTACGCATTGAAGATGGTGATTATGTGTCAATATCTTTTTGATATGAATATTGCAGTATTGAGTTTGTGATGATTATTCTCCAAATCCCAGTATCATCTGAATTGTATCAACACAATAGCATGACATCCTTCACTATGGTCAATGGGCTGTAAGGTGTGGCTTATAATGGAACTTCGACAGAATTAATATTTTTAAGATTGCAAAAATATTGTCTAATTCTGGTCAAATTTATAGTGCTGCCTAAATTAATTTAATTAATCAGTTAATAAATATTTTAACTGGATATTATCTAGTTAACAAATATTTTAACCAATTATTAATCAAAGATTTTTAGGCAGAAGAAATGACATAAAATTGTTTTGTTTTCTTACATCAGTAACTTAAGAAGGAACTTTTATTATAAAAGTTTTACAAAATAATTATGAATTCATCAAAGAATTGATTTTAGAAAAAAAGTTTATTCATTTCTATTAAGAACAGCCTTCTTAAAATTAATTTTTGGAATAAACTCTTACAATCAAATAATTGTTTTCAATGAATACACATTCAAGAATAAATATGAAAATGATGAAAAGTTCAATATAATCATCAGAACAATTGCAATTGAACCAAAGTTGGTAAAATTATGGGAGAAAATAAAATTTGATGAGATTTATAATTTTATATGTATTAGAAATTTTATAGAAAACAATTTTTTAAATCATAATGAATCATAATAATTCTTTTTAATAGTTATTTACTATTAAAAAAAAAAGGAAATTCAAAAAGAAATAATTATATTTAATCAACCAACAATACATATTTTTAATAATAAAAACATTTAGCTATATGTTTATTATTTTTCATATCTTATTTATACGTGCATTATTCAAAGTTAATTTTATGAGAAATATACTAGTTAAACCAGAACAACATTGCAACTGAGAAGGTCATCTGTATTCTAGTGAGTCTAATATTAGATCAGCAAGAAGTATAGCAGTCACAATCAATGAATTTTTTTTGAGTAATTTTATATAAGAATCAATTTTCGCTTCAAATAACTCATTTACTTTCATTTAGAAATCTGAGAATGATTTATTCCATAGGATCTTAGTTGAAATATTTGGATTTTGTAGATATGAATAAAAATATATATTTATTGATTTTTATTGTAAAAATCTATTATAAAGATAAAAATGATAAATTTCCATAGGAAGTAAATCAACCATTAATAATAATAAATTGATTTGCATTCAAATATCTATTAGATTAAATTACTAGCAAATTTTGGTTAGAAGAAAACAATAACATCTGATTTCTATAAACAGTTTTACAATCATATTATAAGGAAGCATAAAGCATTTTCAAATTGATATTTTTTAAAAAAAAGTCAAAATTTAACCTATTTGAATAACTCATAGTAAATCAACCACCTAAAATACATTTTTTTACAATAGGTAAACCTTCTTTTAAATCACATAAAACATCACAACTTGTAGAAAAACAGTTTATGAAATACATAAAGAGAAAAGAAGAAGAAATATCAGATTTACAGGTTCAAATGTAGGATTTTAAAAACATATAAATGATGTTAGAAAGAATATGCTCAATGATATAAATAAATACTCTTGCAAAAATAAACAATTTAATAAAATGGCTAAAAATATATGATGAACAATTAAATAATTATCAAAAAAAATTTATTCTTTAAATATAAAATTATATTTTTTATCATCATCTTAGCATCTACCGTCTTAATTACCTCTTCTGCAACTGCAACAATAACTACAATCACTAATTTACAAAATTCTTTTATAATAAAAATTTAATATTAGTTTAGCTATACATACAGTGGTGTGCAAAAAAAATGAACTTTTTTAAAATCACGATAGGTTCACAAGTATTGTGTCAATTAAAATGTTTAATACGTCATTTTAAAGCTGAGAAGTAGTAAATTTATTAAAAAAAAAATTAATATGATATTCGTTCACCATTTTTTTCAATAACCTCCCTACAACGCTGAGGCATTGAATTTACAAGATTAACTAGAAGACTATTTTGAATTTTTCTCCACTCCTCTTCTAATAAACGCTCTAATTCACTAAGATTTTTTAGCCTATGCAACTCCACATTTCTTTTAACAATTGCCCAAAGGTTTTCAATAGGATTTAGGTCTGGACTATTAGAAGGCTAATCTATAACATTTGGAATATTTTTATCAAGGAAATCCTTAGCAATAAGACTTCTATGCTTAGGATCGTTATCTTATTGCAGTTGCCAATTACCTTGTAACATATTGCGCACTTCTGGAAGATGCTTATCCAATATTTTTGTATAAAATTCTCCATTCATTATGTGTCTAAAACAAAAAAGACTAGTGGTACCCTTTATACAAAACCCACCCCAGGCGAATATTTTACTTCGGTCCTTTGGT